TTAAATAATTAATAAATCATATAATACTCCATTAATTTAGCGAAACAATTTTTATGCACACATTTATAGGAAATGAGTAGTCAAAACAAAAAAGGTTAATCTCTTACATAATAAATGCTTATTAAATCCGACATTAATTAATATCATTTATAAATAGCGTGTTTTAAAAGATAAATAATTCACTTTTCAAAATATTCGATTAATTTTATTTGCGGTTTTACATTGTATAACGCAAGAAAGATAGTAAAACTACATTAAAAACATATGAAAATCATTATTAATTATTCTCAGTGATTTGGTCTATATTGTGCAAATATTTAAAAGTGTAATGGGTTAAACATTACTTTTTGAAGAGCTTATTCAATATTAAATCAATTAATTTAATTCGCAATTTAACACAGAGCAAACGAAGACATTAGCCTATACCAATACATCATTCAATAATATATTCTATAAATTATTTTGAATATAACTTATTGTATAGAAATTGAAAATATTCAAGACTGATTTTTATTGTTTAACTTGAATGTCCATTAAAAATTTCTTGAAATTAGAGATTTAAAATTTTTGATGAAATTTAATTAAACACTAAAAGATCAATTATTTTTCGGCAAGTTAAAAAGTTTCTTAATAACATTCTCCATTGTAAAATATTATTAATGCGTGGAAATTTTATAACTTTTAGACTGAAGAGAGCCAAAAACAAGCCGAAAATTACTAATAAGTTACTTAAATAAAGGTAGGAAATAAAGTTAGGAAATAAAGTTACTTGAAATTTTGTCTCAAACCCTTAGAACTTAAAGAAGAAAAATTCTGCTAAGTTCTTTATCTCGTGAAATATATTCATTAAAATATAATCTATGTATATAACGATATCAGCAATAAAATGCAACTTATCTTTTTACGACATTTTTATAAACTTTCCCGTGTTGTGTAATGTAAATGATTGGGAGATTCAGAATTTCCAATCACGTCATCTGGAATCAAAGTACATTGTTACTTCCGTCTAGTTCTTATATAAATAAAATAGTCGACGAGATAAACAATATTCGTTAACACCTTCCGTAGATTCAGGTAAGAATTTTACATATAAATTATTTTAAAATAATTCACTAAAAAATGAAATTCTACGATACTAAAAATATGTTTCCGTATTTTAAATTATTGTAGGACAAAAATATAATTGCGTTGATGTTATATTTAATGCACCATAATTATAATTTTATATTATTATTTTTTCTTAATTTAGAAAAGTTTTACGAGATTTAATAAAATGAAAGCGGTGACAATTCTGTTGCTTTTAGCTTTTATTTTATGCGCTCAAGGTAAGGTTTTAATTTTGAAAAATACTTTCTATTTCAAGTATAAAATCTAAAATAGCTAAATAATTAATTAGGTTGTTGTTGTTGTTAATTAAAATTTTTAAATTTTGATTTTATTTTTCAATAGAAATTGCAAATGTAGAAGCTGAACGCTGCGTGTTTTGGAAATGTAATAGTGACTGCATTAGAAGAAGATACAGAGGAGGAATTTGCAGTGGAATATTAAATAACACTTATTGTACATGTCTTAGATAGCAGAGGAACTAATTTTTATCCAAAGAATTTATTGTCAGCATTTTAGGGATGTTCTATAATTTTTTTTTATAAAGACTAATTCTTGAATTTGCTTTGTTAATACGGTATTCATATTCATTTAATGTTTCTTTTATTTCAATAAATAAAATTTTAAAAAACATGTTGATATTTTTAATTCTGAATTTTTATTTTAATTTTAGAGTAAAATTCAAATATACAAATAAAACGGATTCACTCTATTTTCGACTTCCTTTTGAATCTATGGCCAAAGTCGAGTGGATAAAAAACTGAATCCTCCATATGGTCAGTCCGTTGGCCCACGGGAACAACAGACTGACTACGAGATTTTTTCGGGTTCTCTTTACGTATGTAATATATAATAAGAGTCAGTTTCCTATAAAGTCCATGGCTGATCTGTCAATGGGATAGGGATCCCTATTGATAGGTCAGCCATGTGTTTCGTCTGGTACTTAACCGGTGTTCCCCGGAACACTAAGTGTTACGCGAACTTGTTATAAGTGCTCCGCGAAATTATGAAAGCAGCGTACTAGCTGAAACTATGATTAAACAAACTTTAGTGTAAATTCGCGGTCTACAACGCAGACAAGATATAACTTGAACTTTGCATCGGTAACAAGGGTAGTTCACTGCAAAGACAAGAAACTTAAATAGGATATATAAGCAATGTTTTTTGTTTAGAAAATTCCTAGTTCCAAAAACATTATCGGCAAAGTTAAAATTTATTTATAGTTTGGTCTAGTATATGTTAAATTACATCATTTTAAATTGAAACAATAAAATTCAATTTATAATTTAGACGAATAAATAAAAATCTAAGAATTCTGTTAATTTTTTTTATTTGGCAAGTGTAAATTTTAATTTAAACAAAAATATTTATAAAATCTAACGGCCCTTTACTGAAAATAGTCGATATATTTTTGAAAGTTATATTCTTAAATGTTTTATTGTAATCGATAGATGCGTACCGTACAATACATAAAGTTTATCGATAATTTTTTGATAAATTTTAAGAAATATTTGACTTTAAAATTTACAAGAATATATTCTTCCATCACACCAAAAAACTACTCATCCGTATTTTCTTCGTGACAATTATTATAATTAATTTTAAATCAAACTTAGATCACCGACGTGCAGGAGACTTTTGAGAGTCGTCTGATATTCCTTTTTTTATGCAAGCAAGAATCTTATGGATAAGTGCTTTTTAGAGCATGGTGCGAGTTCCCTAAGGCTAAGCACGCTCTCATTAATTAAGGAGATAGGTGAGAAAAATTCCGTAATGGAGATAAAAGATTTCTAAAATACTCCATGCCATGATAATAGAGGTTAATGTGTATCACGAGACAGTTTACGATATTGTTAATATGACAATGCATCGCAGAAAAACCAGAATAAGATAACAAAATATTATTTCGAATAAATTACAGCAAACTAAACCGAAATGAAAATACAATTTTGTACTATAAAAAGAAAATACATAAATTTCAAACACGAAATCTGGCTAAATTTATATTTATATATTTTTAGTTTTAAATAACATTTTAAAATAAAGAATTAGAAATTTTTAATTAAATTAGTTTCTAATACTGTATGTAAAAATTGTTAAAGATGTTTAATAGAACTAATTATATTTATAAATTATTGACTGATGTAACTTATAAATACTGTATTTAAAGTTTATAAATGTAATAAATTAAAACAAAGAATGAATTAAAGCTTCAAATTAGTGAAATAGAAAAAGTGAAGAATAAAGTTTAATGTTTTCTTTTAATTGACAAATCTCAACAAAATTTATATCGATTTAACGGTGTTAAAACAATACTTTTTATGATACATTTGCTAAGAAACATGTTATTAATAAAATGATAAACACTAATAAACCTTTCACTATATACTATTCAATAACATAAACATTATTAATAATAATTTATACAAAGACTAAGTAAACAATTTAAGGAATACATTAAAAAATTGTAATTATTCATTTAAACATTTTAACCAAGAGAATATATTTTTTAAAAAGAAGTTTCAACTATATAATGATGCATATCTGAAATTATAAAATTAAAACTTATTTATCCGTTTCGAGATGATAAACATCTAAACGGCGTTGAAAAGCATCGAAAACATATAAGCGCCCGTCTTTAGTTAATGCTACGTCCAATGGTCGAATCTGAAGAGAAAATGTGGCTCTGCCTAAGAAATCTACAGTACTTTCCAATCAAAAACCTGAAAACGAATTTTATTTAAACTTACTGAATGTAAAGTTTCCATAAAATAATTTATTAAATATTTTACCTGAATGCGCTCATTTCCGATCTCTGCTATAAACACAGCACCTTTTGGAACTAAAGCGATAACAGACGGTCGATCCATTTGCCTTGGAGCTCTTCCGTAGCTACCGAAGATTTTAATTTACCATCTAATGTAGTTTTGTAGACTTGACTAGCACCTAACAATAAAAATTGTTTAATTTAAAACCATTCTTAAAAATAATTAACTTTTTTTTTCTTCTTCTTCTTCTTCACGTACCAGAATCGGATAAGGCAACTTCGTTGGAATAGGAAACCATATAATAACAATTCGAATTTCTTGGTTTTACGATCAAAAACATTACTACATTCTAATTTGCCGCTTTTATTAAAAACAAACAAATGATTCGTAGTTTGGTCCAATGTTATCACTTTCTTATTCTCCGTCACAGCAAAACCTAGATGTTTAAAATAAATATTAGCTTATAATTTGCAGAATACTATTAATGAATATAAAAAATTCCATTCGTCTAAACTTCTTATATAGTTTCCATTATGGTTAAATAAACAAAGACCATTATCGTCTCTAATAACAAAATTTCCATCTACAGTAGCCACAACTGATGACAGATTTTTAAACGTAATTCCTATTTAAAAATTAATAATTACAAGTTTCATTTCATTTGTTTACGGTATTTATTTTAATTTTAAAGAGATTTACCAAATGGTTTTTTAAGTAATTCGTCTTCAAAACTTCTTATATAGTTTCCATCACGATTGAACAAATAAAGACCATTATCGTCTCTAATAACAATATTGCCATCTACAGTAGCAGCAACTGATGACGGTTTTTTAAACATGACTCCTATTTAAAAATTAATTAATTACAAATTATCTTTTCATTTAACAAAATTTATTTAATGATTTACCTTCTTTTGCTTGTTGAAATGAAGTTTTAGGTTTTCCATATTCATCCAAGATCCATACTAAATTATGTCCTGTATCACATATAATAATGTCATTATTGCAATTCACTTCGATTCCAAAAGGAAAGTTTAGATTTACACCGCTGCTTTCGGATATAATTGCAAGTAAACGAGCATTAACCGAAGGAATTATTCCTGTAAAGAAATATAAATAAACCATAAAATTAACAAGAAGCCATATTTGTTTGTAATTTTTCTACACGGTTTTAGAATCATGAAAAACATTTTCAATGACTTGTTTATTTAAAAAATATATAATAAGTGAAAAATATATTTTAAATGATTTTTTAAAATTTAAATAGATTTATTTTAAATATTTAAATATATCAATACTTACTGCAATTCTCTGGTTTTTCGTCATGAACAATATTTCATTTGCTTTATAATTTTCATTCGAACCGGACCAATCTTCAAACCCATCTTTGTAATTGTATTTGGAATCTTTATTTTCATTATTTTCTCTTTTATCACTATTAAGCGTACTGACAGAAGCCAGTTTTTCTCCTTCAAGTGAAGAGAATTGACTTTTCTGCTCAATAAAAATGTTCAATACTTCATTCATCTTCGTTTAGATTTTTAACGCGTTTATCTACATCATCCAAACAAGATAGAGAGGATTTTATAAAATTCTTGTCTTCTATATTTGTCAAATTTTTATTTCTCAACTTGCTTTTGCCTGTTTTTATATCTATAGCAACAGGGCTATTTTTGATATGACGACCATAGAGCGTTATTTCTACGAAGTATTTCAATATTTATCCAAGCGGAAGTTGAAAATATAGAAACCATCTTGTCTATCAACAATTTCAGCCACCTTTCGTATTCCAATTTCATCTGTCATTAATCTGAAAAGTCGAGATGTCAGAGGAGGACACCAATGTTTTTCGCCTTTAGCATAAACACTAAATTCTTTTCCAATATCGAATTCTTCTTGCACAATTATCAAAGTGAAATCTTCCGGTTTAGGTGGAAAACATTTAAAATAACCAAAATCATATTTAGCGTCCGATGGTCTTGCTGATTTGAAGTCTAATGCAGCCCAACATTCAATTTCACGATTATTGATATCAAAATTTTTATTTAAGAAATATCTCCAGATTGAGACTTTTTCGTATAATCTTTCGGACTTAACGAATTTTCGAATTTCTTTTCCAAGTTTTTCAGAAATTCTAGTTTACTTGTAAAAATTACTTCTAAATTATGTATTGCACTTGATTCAACCTCTTCCAGAGCTTTTTCTATTATCTGCTTGGCAATGTAGTGGTTTTTATCTAGTATTGCTTTTGCATTCTTTATTTTTCGCAACGCTTGCTTGTTCTTTTTGTATTCTTAAACGAAAGCTTCAAGTCTCTCTGATGACATATTCTCTGTCAAGGCTACACTAAAAATTGATTAAATACATTAGTAAAATCAATATCAGGTCAGTTCGTGCGCATTTTTATCTACAAAAAAAGCAACAAAAATTTTAATTAAATCTTATTTTTTAATCTATAATGTATTCACCATTATTTTGTACAATTTCTTGCCATCTTGATGGTAGCTTTTTAATCCCGTCTTTGTAAAATGATTTCGGTTTTGAATCAAAATATTCAGAAATAGCCTTTTTTACATTGTTCTCATCCTCAAAAGTTTTNAACGTAATTCCTATTTAAAAATTAATTAATTACAAATTTTCTTTTCATTTAATAAAATTTATTTAATGATTTATCCTTTCTCGCTCGTTGAAATGAAGTTCTAGGTCTCTCTATTTATTCAAGATCCATACCAAATTATGTCCTGCATCACATATAATAATGTCATTATTGCAATTCACTTCGATTGCAACAGGAAGGCTTAGATTTACACCACTGCTTTCGGATATAATTGCTTTCAAACGAGCATTAACTGGAGGAATTATGCCTGTAAAAAATATAAAGAAAGTACAAAATTAACAAGAAACCATATTTGTTTATACAGGTATACCTCGCCTTACGTCGGTAATTGGTTCCAGGAAAACGACGTAAGTCGAATTTACCTGTCNACTAAATTATGTCCTGTATCACATATAATAATGTCATTATTGCAATTCACTTCGATTCCAAAAGGAAAGTTTAGATTTACACCGCTGCTTTCGGATATAATTGCAAGTAAACGAGCATTAACCGAAGGAATTATTCCTGTAAAGAAATATAAATAAACCATAAAATTAACAAGAAGCCATATTTGTTTGTAATTTTTCTACACGGTTTTAGAATCATGAAAAACATTTTCAATGACTTGTTTATTTAAAAAATATATAATAAGTGAAAAATATATTTTAAATGATTTTTTAAAATTTAAATAGATTTATTTTAAATATTTAAATATGCTTCCTTACTATCATTCTCTGGTTTTTCGTCATGCAACAATATTTCATTCGCTTTATAATTTTCATTCGTACCGGACCAATCTTCAAACCAATCTTCGTAATTGTATTTGGCATCTTTATTTTCATTCTTTTCTATTTTATCACTATAAAGCGTACTGGCAGAAGCCGGTTTTTCTCCTTCAAGTGGAGAGCATTGACTTTTCTGCTCAATAAAACTTTTCAACGATTCATCTTCATTTAGATTTCTATCACGTTTATTTACATCACCCAAACAAGATAGAGAGGATTTTATAGAATTCTTGTCTTCTATATTTGTCAAGTTTTTATTTCTTAACTTGTTTTCGTTTGCTTTTATATCTATAGCAACAGGGCTATTTTTGATAGGACGACCATAGAGCATTATTTCTATGAAGTATTTGGAATATTTATCCAAGCGGAAGGAGAAAATATAGGAACCATCTTGTTTATCAACAATTTCAGCCACCTTTTCTCTTCCACTTTCATCTTTCATAAATCCGAAAAGCGAAGATATCAGAGAAGGACACCAATCTTTTTCGCTTTTAGCACAAACAGTAAATTCTTTTCCAATATCGAATTCTTCTTGTACAATTATCAAAGTGAAATCTTCTGGTTTAGGTGGAAAGCATTTAATATAGCCAAAGTAATATTTAGCGTCCGATGGGTTTTCTGATTTGAACTCTAATTCAGCACAACATTCAATGTCACTATCGAAATCAGATATTTCAGAAATATCTTCGTATTCAGACGTTTTAGCAGCATCTTCCGGACTTGAAAAATTTTCGAATTTCTTTTCCAAGTTTTTTAAAAATTCTAGTTTACTTTTAAAAATTACTTCTAAATTATGTAATATAACTGACTCAACCTCATCTACAGTTTTCTCTATTGTGTGCTTGGCAGTATAGTAATTTTTATCTATTAATGCTTTTGCATTCTTTATTTTTCGAAACATTTGATTGTTCGTTATATATTCTTTAACAAAAGCTTCGCAACTCTCTGATGACATGTTCTTCACGAAGACTACACTGAAAATTGATTAAATACATTTGTAAAATCATTATAATATATATATATATATATGCACACGCACGCACACACACACACACCCAAAAAATAAGCATAATCGTCATAATCGTCTAATCCATAAATAGGAGTTCAGATAGAGCCTACAGAATGATTCACATCGGATTAGACAGTGGCACGTTATCCTATGAGCAAAAAGGGCAATTGCCTGGCTCCAAAACCAATGTTTTATTACTGTAGTAAGAATATCGAAATTTAAATTTGGTGCGATATCCGGGGACCTTAGATTGTTGGTGTGGCGCAGAACTTAAGTTCTGCGCCACACCAATAATCTAAGGTCCCCGGATCTACACTGTACAGTACAATCTAACACTGTACAGTACAGTGTTTGACTTCAAACATTTTTCAATTCAAACATTGTAATTCAATTTTGCCCGGACCACATAAAACTATAACGCGCTATTGGGATTAGAATCTGATGAGAACGAGAAACCCTGTACGGTCCCTTGAATATTGTGGGAAAAAACCATTTTGAAGTGACGGTATCATAGTCTGGGACCGCAACGAGCTCACGTTTTTGTCTTGCCGTTACTGCAAGATGAAAAGAAATGAGGTTTTGGGAACCCACGTGAAATTTTTCCAAAGAGCTGTAAGTGCAGATTTAATTTTCATGGATCCTCACATAAGGCTGCACTCGTCAAAGATTTTCTTGACAGTGAAGATATTCCTCTGAAATAGCCAGCGAGATCACCAGACTTGAATCCCATAGAACACATGCGGAGTGTTCTAAGAAGACAAAATTGCATCTCGTCGGCTTCCACCAAGAACACTTCAGAAGATTATTCTTATTCAAGAATAAACTATACTCCCAAAAGGGCTTATAAACAACGTTATAACCATCATAAACGATCGCTCATGGTGGTTATAACGCAATTAATATGGCATATGGTTGCTTCAATATTTTCTGTGCAAAAACGTTTACAACAATACCTTAGTATTTTTATTTAATATAATTTAAATAATTTTTTTTTGTTTTTCAATTATTTTGTTGCATAAAAAAACGAATGTTATGCGTGTATCGATACATTAAGTTTTACGCTGTTCTGATTAGTAGTTCTTGAAATATGGACCAAATTAGTGGTTATGTTTATTTTTTGGGCACGAGTGTACACATTTAAAATTTTAATATTGGTTATGACAAATATAAAAATTTCGATAAATATATAAAATAAAAATTTATATATTAAGTATAAAATGTAACATCTTTTAACAATGTTTTCTATTTCTTTATGTAAGCTATAGATAAAAAGTTTAAAAAGAAGCTTTTAGAAATTACCATAATTTAAATGTAATCTTCGAAAACATTTCATATTTCTAATATGAAGAAAACATCTGGTGTAATTATTGACAATATATGTACCGTATATACTGTACAAATATATATTCATTTAATCACTGTACATATGTACTGTACAGTGAGTAAGTGAGTATGTTATGCAGTCCACTCACGACCTAAACATCAAAAACTTAATGATAAACTGCAAGTGCTTACAAGCAATAAGAACCAACTGCAAGATTTTAATTATGAGAAATACATGTGACATGAGTTAAAACAATATCTATTACGTGACTTAAAATAAGACAAATCTATATATCGATTTCTATAATGTATTTAGGCTAGTGCAATTTTTCAGTTTTTTTCTACCAATCACTTTTCTTCCATTTCGATGAAATTATAAACAATATGCATTCTACGAGTATTAATAACAATCTTTTATGCTGATTTTAGCAGAAACATTTTTTGAGCTATTTGACATATAAGATAACGAAGCAGGAACAATAGTCACGAATGGATATGTCTGTTAAAAATTTATTAGTTACTTATCTATATATATATATATATGGACATGTATGTCCCTATATTTCACTTTTTCGCCAAAACTACACATCGCACGTAAATGGTGTTTGTATGTGGTGGTAGCCCCAAGTCTCCATTCGTGCATAGGGGTGGTTGCGTCTCGATAGCTATAAGGGTGCGGGAGATATGAGGCTGAAAGTAGTTGAAAGTGGCTTTCTATTTCGAATGTTTTGTTCGATTTTTTCGAATTTGTTCGAATTAAATTCGAACATAAAATTCGAATTAGTTCGATTATAGAACGATTGAAAACGTTCCAGAAACGTTGAAATTTGTTCGTTTGACTAAACGTAAAAATTCTCTAATTAGTCTGGAAACGAGGGACCTAATTCTTGAATTTTGTGAAAACGGGTAAGATTAGCTATAATGTAATTATCTTAATCTTCACTATCGTTACTTTTTGCCCAGCGAAGCGGGTCCTTGCAGCTAGATTCTAGATTACTTAGAAAA